AAAATGGCCGTGGACCACGTGTCAGGGGCAGAAAATGGCCGCGGACCACGTGTCAGGGGCAGAAAATGGCCGCGGACCATGTGACGGGAGGGAAAATGGCCGCGTATCCTGCTCGTATCCCGAGGCAGAGTTCGCAAATCGAGGTAAATTTTTGCGGCTGGAGCTGGTCGTAACCCGAAAAGTTCGTTAGCAGAGGCGTTCATAACCCGAGGTTCCACTGTACCTCCAAATGATAACAAGCGTTAGCATGCAGAAGATCCAAGGCTGAGACCCAGCATCTCTAGTTCAAGTGACCAAATGGTATTTTATTATAAATGATGGAAAGATGCTGCTAATCAAAAGAGACAATATAAATAGATGACCCAATCTGAATGCATACTATATAGGGCAGCTTCTTATATTCCTGTGACATTTGTAAGTGCTACCATAACTCTAAACCATTAATGTTTTGTTTTTTTTTAAATGACTAATTATCCTTTAATGTAATATTCTGGAGAAGCCCAAGATCTACTGTGATACAAACATGTTAAGTAAATGGAAAATTGAATTCCAGTTGTTGCATAGATTTCTGAGGCAAAAAAACACAGACCTACCTGTAGCAAGTCATGCTAACTGATAACCACTGTTGCTCAGCCAATTCACTGAAATGTATTAATATTGTAAATGAAAAGGAGGGATTATCTTCAAAAGTCTGCTATCTGTTATAAGTCATCTTTTCAGAAATCCTGGTTTGCCTATTGGAAATATTCTTTTTTTAGAACTTGGTAACTAGACTTTAATGTTTGCATAATAATTTTCTAAAAACAATGCAAAATACCTATTAATATATTCCATTACAAAAGTATTCTCTTATTTCTACTGTTTCATGTTAGACATATTTTGCAAGTAATTATCTATACTTTTTAAGAATTTATTTAGGATTTTAGCCTCCTGCCCCCGTAATTTATATTTTTTTGCATTATAACAAATTACCTTTACTTGTTTATCACTATTCATTATCTTTTGGGGAGTATTATGTTTCATTTAGATTTGATTAATTCAACATTCATTATTGCTTCTTTGTGTTATTTATAGATCATTTTGGACAAACAGATTATTCTGACATGAGATATTTTCATCATATAAAACATACACACTCATCATGCTATTCTATTTTGGGGTAGCATTATGCAGAGTGCAGAAAAAGAGTAAGAAATAGAAAACCAAAGTCATTAAAGACATGAGATATACAGATTAATGCTTTTCTTTTTATTCTTTAAATTTCTCATTCCTTTTGAGGATTAATTCTATCCCAGCATGACTTGCTTAGACTTTCCCTTCCTCTCAACCAATTCACTTTTTTTTCATGCATTGTTTTGTTGTTCAACCTTCATTCTATGTGACCAAACCACCTCAGTGTACTTCTTTCATTGTGGTCATTCATGCTATTTATCCACATTCAGCACCCAGTCATTCTTAACCTGGTTTCTTTTGGTTTTACTACACACACTTCTTAAGTACAGTGGTACCTCGGGTCACGAACGCTTCTGTTCATGACCAATTCGGGTCACGAACAGCTCCGCTCGCAAAAATTTGCTTCCATTTGCGA